CATTAGATTTGTTTAATAATTTCTTATTGTCGATTAAAACCATATTTGAAAAGACAATTGAAAAATAAACCATCTGTTTATTTTTATTGAGTGGAGAATGTTAAAAGACCTCTAAAAGTTTGCATTCGACAAGGAAAAGCTTTTATTATCTGAATAATTACTACAAAAAACATTTACAAATCAATCACTTCAACCTCAGATATTGAAACATCTTGAATAAAGATGACCTCATTTTGTATCAAAACTATGAAAAATGCTTGCTATAAATTGTCTATAAAACCTGTTCAAGTGGAATTAGTCAACGCTTAGTAGCATTTACAATTTCAGTTGTAAAGCAATGAAAGATTAGAACAAAAAATGAAATTTATGATGGTTTTTGTCCCTCTTTTCGCTTTGATTGCAAGTGCGGAAAAAAGAACTGAGTCTATTATGATTTATTCAATTATTTAAAATTATTTTCAGGCCTTTGCAGCTGCTTATCTAGCAGCTGAACCAGACCCGCATGCACTCGCCAACCCAGGTTAATTTAAATTAATTAATTAGTATCTTGCATTAAATTTAATAATTTTTTGATAATTTAGATCCGGCAAGGTGCTGCAAAACAAAAAGTTCATGCTGCACGTGTAGACGTAGTTTCTTCAAACTTTGAAAAATATTAAAATAAGTGAACATTCGTTTAATTAAATTACAGCAAAATGCAGAAGATGTTGTTCACATTAATGAAAATCTTCCACTTATGCGATCAATTGATTATTGAAAGCATTATGACTTTGTATTTATGACTTGATTTAATGAAACATTACAATGAACGGAATAAATGCAAAATAAACCCCAAAATTACTTCAATCTTTTATTTGTTTTGGTGTGGAGTTCGACGTAAGCTACAAAAGTTCATTGAAGTATGAGATTTATTTCGGAGTTCATCGAACAGTCTTACCCGTAATAATTTATTTAACTTACAATATACATCATATGATTGTTGAAGTACATTGACGAAAAAAAAAACTTCCACACAAAACGAGTTTTAAGTTTTGCACACCATCCAATGAGTGGTCATCCAGTAGCTTAACCATGAGTAATAATGTTAAGATATAACATTTAACGAATTTCTAAATATATTCTGCGCAGTGAGAATGAGATGATTTTTTATATATATCTCCAACTGGTTCAATAAACAAAAAGTCGACTTTATTTTTTTTTATTCTTCTGTCACTAACGCGTCAGCAAAATCTTAGTTGCAACTTGCAAATACGCTTAAAATAAATCTGAATTACGACCTGTTTCATTTTTATAGAACTTGTTTCGTTGGTTTGAATCATGTTTTGAACCACATGATACTTTCTTTGATCTTGAAAATCGTAATTGATTTCACATGAAACACATAAAGTAAATTGTCCCATTTTAATCACGTGAAAATCATCTTAATAATCACGTGTGATTTTTGATCATAAGCGTTCAATTGCTGTCCAATGATGATAAGTTATTAATAGATAATGCAAACGATGACAAATGTGATTTAACGTTTGAATTATAAAGCAGTTCCAAAAATGTTGTGAGTCATTTTGTGTTGATATATTGCGGCAGCTAAACGTAATAACAAACACTTAACAAATGTTCTGGGAATTTTTTTTTTGATAAAGCAATATATAATTCTATGTTGTCTGGTCAAAACACTCGATCTTTTTCACAATTTGAACCCATTTTAAGTACAATAAAACGAATGGTTAAAGTACAATCCGTACAAAAATTCCCAAATAAAGGGCAATGCATCGTATGTCTGATCTTGATATTCAATTTTGCAGTCTCGAGATATTGAGTTATCGTGAGCGCATACAGAAAATGTTTATTTCTTTAGGAAAAAGTGAGTCATTGACACAATGAAGTAAGCAAGTGTGTCAAAACGATGGAAACATTTGAAATCGTTCATAATAACTTACAAGAATTATTATTTTTATCTCAATGCAATACCATTCGATTTATTTAACTCACTTTATTTATAATTGAAAAGTTATCCATGATAATAATAAATGGCGTTCAACAATTAAATTAAGACTTGACTTTGAATTCATTTTCAAATTGTGAAACTTTGAAAACTTGTCAAACTTTCGTTTCATTTGATGAAAACTTCCAAAGAGTTAAGTAAGTTCACCTCAAGTTCACGCTGACATTTTGGTCACTGTTCGATTAATGATCAGAAATCATATAAATCGATTTATTTTTAGATCAATTTTGAAAGCCATTTTTGTCATGCAAAAGAATCTCTTGGCCTCATTCATTTTTAGATACGTTATCTGTAAGATTGTGAATTTAAAACACCATGTTAATATTGTTTCCTGATTCAAATGATAGTGAAATATCGCAATATTCTGTCGAAATTCGATTTTATCAAAGAAAACGTGTTGTTTTTTTATCATGGAAGTTTGTTTTTATGTCTCAAACTTGGTAACAAAATGTTATAGAATTGATTGTTAACGATAACATTATAAATAGACATTCGGTTTCATTTGATATCGTTTGATATAAACAAACCACTTGAAAAAAGTCCCCCGCCGTCACATTTTGATAGACACTACACACGTTTTCTCGAAAAGATATTATTGAAAGTGTAAAACAAGACGATATAGATCATTTTGACTTCGTTGAGTGACGATTACAAAACCATTCTGTTATCTTAAGTGAAGTTTTATCAAAATGACTTACTTGATGTTTTTTTTTTTTTAATAAATAAATTATATGTTTATTGTGCGAAATATAAATTATTAGTGTATGAAATGTAATAATCGTTAAGCCATTTTAGAATTTCAAAAAAGGGGATTCCAATTTGTTGAATCAATAATCATATGAATCACATGCGCATGATTTTGATTGACGCTTGCAAGATGAACAGCATTTTGACTTGGTGTTTGTCGTGGATGAACAGCTTTTAGATGGACCACACGATGGGGTAGTTTTACATGGTGATGGCGTTGAACACGAACATGGTGGTTTGGATGTAGTAACACACTTCGAGCAGCCGTTGCATGTTTGGGGGACTGGTTCTACTTTATTAAAACGCCGTTGTAAACGTTTGCGCAAAAGTCCTGGATTTGCATCGGCATCTGGTTCGGGAAAAGCTACAGCAACGGCCTAAAATTTAAACGCTTAAACAATGCACAATTTAAAAAAAAATAGTTTGTTTCACTTACAACAAAAGCAAATAGAGCAACAAGAGCCAACGTGAATTTCATTTTGAGTTCTTATGATTTTTCTCACAATTTTTAATTGTAAATGATGTGATCACATCGGTTTTCGCGGCTATTTATAACGAAAAAAATCCGCACAAAATTCATTGGCAGTACACATTGAGAAGAAATGTGGGTCAATAAATTAGTGTAACAAACTATCAGCATAAACAAATGAAATCAACAATGGACACAGAACGGTAGTTTTCCATAACAACAAATAACAATGAAAATAATTGATTGATGTGACAAATGGCAAAGTAATAACACGGCATTGGTCATATTCAATGAGAAATCTGTTCATCTTTCTATCGTCCTACATATTTGAGAGTTTTATTACACCTGACATGACAACGAAACTTTTCAATAGAAAAATGTGATAAATTGTAACGAACAATCAAACATGGTACCCACTTTTAACATTCGTACTAAAAGTAGATTGAGCTAATGCTCTCATTCAATTGAAGCAATTTTCAATCGATTTTTTGATTATTATAATCTATTTTTGTAATTTCTAATCAGAATTGATCTCTCTTCTCTTTCATGTTCATACGAATGATAGCAGAAATGAACCGAATATTTCATTTTTTTAAAGTTTGAACTTTAAATTATGGTCGTCGATTATACTTCGATAACATCGAATAAATGATCCATCTTGTATCATAGAGTACTTAGTACTTCAGATAATTCAATATGAGTAAATTCAAACGAAAGTTTGTTTGAACTGCAAGTACTTCTATTTATTCATCAAGTGTAAATACTTGGGTTGGTTTATCTGGTGAAGAAAATCACGCCATGAACTACCCACAATTGGTGGGCATACATGAAGTATCAATTATTATTATTTTTATGACACCATTATAATGTTGTTTGAAATTTGAACTGTGGAACATTTTTTATCAGAACATCTGTACGAAAACTGATAAAACGTGCGCTTCTTGAACTGGGAATATGTTTAATAATCTCTTAAGTAATACACAATTGTGTGGCATATAGCGTGTTCAAGTGTTTCGAATCAATAAACTCTTCAAGGGAAGCGATGTTTTAAAATCGAGTGCAATTTTCTATGCACTTTTTATTCGTCATTTTGATTGTCATGAAATAAAAAACCGATCTGATAAGTATCATTAATGGATTAAAGCTGTTGTTAGTGGCGAGAGATAAAAGTGCATTGTTCCTTAATTTATAGAAGATTTTGTTTTATTGTTATCTTTCACTTTGTTTCGCTTTTAAATTGAAACATTTGGTTGACGCAAATTATCCTAATAAATAATTCGCCGTAAAATAGAAGATGAAATTAAAGCAGATTCAAAAGATGTCAAAATAACGATGTCAACCACCGTTTGGAGTTTGGTTCATTTCGGATTTGTGTTTGATTACAGCTTTTATAAAAAAAATATACAAATTTCAAAGTTCCATCGTCTATTTGCATGTGCCATTCACCTGTGATACACAATCAATTCATACATACGCAAGCCATATTGTAAATAGCCGGTGAGTGAAGGTAATCGCAATCGCATTACAAACAATATAAATGTGAAAGAAAAAAAAATCTCTTCATAAATTATGTTAACTTGTCGCACAGCCATAAAAACAGATGGCGACTTCTTTATACATTTTTATTGAAATAAAATCGAGTTGATTGAAAATAAAGAGCAGCAACAGCATCGAGAACTAAAGTCTTTGTTATTGGCAGGTGTGAATTCATTAGTCAATGGGATTGTTTGCAGAATAATGACAACAATAGCAATGTAGCCTCGATCACTGATGCCCATTATTGATTTTACAACAACTTTATGA